TGTGTGTGTGTGTGTGTGTGTGTGTGTGTGTGTGTGTGTACGCTTTATAGTATTTCTTTTCATAAAAACATCTCAATTTATTTCTCACATCTCCTGGAAATTGATGTTGTATTTTTGTACAGTTTTTTTTTAACCCAGTGTACTATAACAAACACTCTGTCACATATCTTACGGTACATAAGTGCAAGACTTTTTGAGGTTCACAAACCTCCTGGATCATACAGTTGAACATTCTAAGTTTATTAAAAGCTGAAAATTTATTTTCCATAATAGTTTCATTAGTTTACATTTATACTTGTATCGTACACATTTTCCAGTTGTTAGAAAACCTCAATGGCACTTGAAATTGGCACTTGAAGTTGTTGCAAATTCAGTAGTTTCAATTATAATTCCTGGTGTTTTAACTTACTTTTCCTATTACTAATGAAACTGAGCATTATTTCATGTGTTTCTTTGCCATTGCTTTTCTTCTTCTGCAAGTGCATTTAGTAGATTTTGCTTAATTTTCTCTTTGGTGTTTTGACAAATCCTGTGATATAAATGTGTTCTTTATATATTCAAAAACCAAATCCTTTATCAAGGACATTTTGTCCAATTTGCTGTTCTTTTCACTGTCTTTAAGCAACTTTCGATAAACAGAAATTCTTAATTTCAATACAGTAGAATTTACCTGTTTTATGTGTTAAGGCTAGTGATTTTTATGTCTGGTTTAAGATTATCCTTCCATACTTTGAGCTCATAAAGTTTTTCTATTTTATTGCCTCCTAAAATTTTTATATTTTTGTCTTTCATATTTACGCATTAGTAATTGATATTTTTTTGTCTAGGGTATGATAGAGGTCCAGTTTTATATTTGCCCTTGTGAGGAAGCAATTGTTATAGCACCATTTATTTAAAAGCCTATATTTTTCTCAAAGATCTTCTAGGCCAGTTCTGTGATAATTCAGATATCCATATATGCCAATAGATGCCTATATAGATATGTCATATGGGATTGTGAGTTTGGAAGTCCCTATTCTGTTCAATTGTCCCCTGTTCTCTTGTACTAATACTACAGTCTTGATCATCATAGCTAGAAAAGTAAATCTTGATAAAGCAACTTTACCAACTCTTTTCCTTTTACTAAATGTATCATAGCTATATTTGGTCTCTGTGGTATCATATAAATTCTAGTATCAACTTTTCAAACTGTGCATACACATAAAAAAATATTGTGGGATTTTGTTGAAATGGCATGGAATCCATAAATCAACTTGGGGAAGATTGACATATATTTTTTCCAATTTCTCTGTATTTGTGTAAATTTACTGTAAAATCTTTAAATGTGGTTTTATACTTTTCTTCATTAAGTTCCTTCAATTTTTCTGATAGGTTTACTCTTAGGTACTTTATATTGTGTGTGTGTGTGTGTGTGGTTGTGTGTGTGTGTGTGAGAGAGAGAGAGAGAGAGAGAGAGAGAGAGAGAGAGAGAGAGATTTGCTTTAAACTATGTGTTAAACATATGTATTACTGTATAGGGATATGCATTTGAATTCTGTATAATTGGCTTGGCATCCAATCAACATACTAAACTTTCTAATTAATTATGACAATCTGTGGGCTTGGGGAAGGAGGTTATATTGACCAGAAATTACTGACAGTTTCATATCTTCTTTCCTATATCTAATATTGCATTCCTGACTTAATACACTGATTAGGTTATCAAGAGCAATCCTACATGGAGATAGTTATAGTAGATGCCATTTTAAAGTCCCTGATCTTGAAGAAAATTTGTTCAATGTCTCATTATTGGTTACAACATTTACTGTACGTTTTGTAGATATCCTTTATTAAATAAGAAATTGTCTTCTCTTTCTCCTGATAAAATCCTTGACAACAACTCCCTCATCTCCACACCATCTCATGTCCCCTCTGACCCAAAAGGGTAGGAAAACTAAAACCCAGGTTCTGGCCTCAACAAATGTCTTTAAGGGCATGCCAGGTTCGGTGTCTAATCCCATTTAATTTTGTTTTTACTCATATGTAGGATATTTTTCAAACTCCTTACTTTTCTTACTAGCTTCATGTTGTATTTATTTTAAGGGATATATTTATATTTCATTCATAGTGTTTTCAGTGGTAGATGACTAGGTGTATTTAGTCCACTGCACTAGCAATAGAAGTCTTCCCTTTCTTTTCTTTCCAAATACACTTTCTTTGAAGTGTCTATCCTTTAGATTTTCCTTTTTCATCATCCTTTGGAAATTTTAACTTTATTTCATCTATTTGTTTATTGCATTTCCCAAACCTTCTTCACCCAACATCCCAATTTCTTTAAAATGGGTCTAAATATTTCTTTAGTTCAAGGTTGATCAATTATATATACAATAATATATATATATTATATGTAAATATAATGTGGTATATATATATGTGTGTGTGTGTGTGTGTGTGTGTGTGTGTGTGTGTGTATCACACCCCCTGTCATGTATTTAGGCATCTTTAATGTATCTCAGGGACTCAATCATATCCTCAGTTAATGAAGGCAAAGGATATGCTCCTTTCTCCCTTTGACCACCCCAGAATTCTATACTTTCACATTCAAGTTGCTGAGGATGTTTTGTTATTCCCTAAGTAAATATGGTCCATATTATGATTACATGCTTCTAGTTTCTTTTTCTATGTAAGTGGAAAAGGCATTGTGGGAAATTTAATAACTCTTTTTATGATTAACGCTTTATTTCATACAAACCTTTATGTACACTGAGACGTTCTTGGCAAAAAGTGAAAATCAGAAGGATATATCATTCTCTCCTGGTGAATGCACTTGTTCACCAAAACCTACTGTTTCTGACGGGATGATTTGCCAACACATAATTTATCATTTTATTCTCATTTTTATTTTTAATTATTAGTTACTGAAAATAAAATGCATGAAATACTGAAATTATAAAAAAAAATCATAATGCAAACCCATGTTTCCTTTACCCAACTTGGGAAACAGTACTTCATGATGCAGTTTTACAGTAACCTTGGATGTCCTCCCAGGTCCAACATTCTAATTCCCTCTACCTTGCTCAGCATTTTTTTTCATAATGCTAATCATTTTCTAATATGTTATATATTCTTCCTGTTGTGTTTGTTTTTTACTGTCTACCTACCCCCAATAAAACATAACTTCCACAAGAACAAGAATCTGTTTTATCATGACATGTCCCAAACTGTACCTGGCATCAAATAGGCACTCACTAAATACATGTTGAATGAATGAATGGCATACAGCATTTTCATAATCAAATGGAAAAAAAAACTCCATGATTTTCTTTTCTAAAATCGTTTACTTTTTTAATCAATGCTATTTTATTCTGTTTGCAGATATCAACATGGCAGGGGAACCCAAACCATACAGACCAAAACCCGGAAACAAGAGGCCCCTTTCTGCACTTTACAGGTACCTAAACCATCACTTTTATGTGATATGTAGTGGTAAAAATGTCTTACAACTTTTTAAGACAATATTTCATGTAAGGAATCAACTTTTTTTGACTCATGTTTTTTACTGGCATGAAGTAGAAGAGAATGTTGTTGAGCATCACACAGATATATCATGCAACATTTACAGGAATCTTGAACGACTAACATTCTTATGTCTGCTCATATAACCATCTGCAACCCACTTTTCCAATAACATCTAATAAAAGTCTCTGATTCTGCCTGACAGGTATAAAGGTCAATGTTGAATAATTACTACATGCCATGTACTATAGGGATTTTACATATGTTGTTTAATTTAATTTAATTTTCAAAACAATCTTACAATGTAGATCAAGAACCTTAGATTCAGTTTTTTAGTGATTTTTCTCAAGGTTATATCTCTGGTAAGTGATTGTCCTAGTACTCAAACTCAAGCCTTCAGACAACATACTCCAAATTATTTCCACTCAATGGCTCAGCCTCTTTCATTGCACTGGACACGTTCTTGTCATTTCCATTTCTCCAAAATAACAAATATAATTCTTCTCTTCTTCAGAGAGACAAATCCAATTCCTTTAGCCTTTCCTATAGTTACTTAGAACTGAGTCAATTTAACATTGTTTTTGTCCTGTTACGTGTCTCAGTTTATCAGTGTCCATACCTATATTTAGAATTCCAGGTGGGTAGAGTAGACTAGATTTAGCAACTTTGTTGCTCTGTATGTACCTCTACTAAGTTAAATAAAATTCTGTTGATCTGAGCAAGAAAAGAGTGAACTCATATAATTTTCAGCTCTTGAAAAACAGCCACTTTGAAAAATAATCATGTTCCGTTGCCCCACTTCACGTAACTTTGCCACTGGTTTTTGTATTGTTAAGTGCTGACTTCGCATCTGTCTCTGCAAAATTCCCTTTTGTTAGATATAGCCAATTGTTCCAGGCTATTGAGATCGCCTATCATCCAATTTATTAGGTCTTCTCCCAGATAGGTATCATCGTTCACATCCACAGCCATAGAACTAACGTAAGTGTTGAGCAAGGCTTCCTAGTTTACTGATATCATTTGGATAAAGGAGAATTAAGTTATATGTGTTAGATTACATTCAGATACAGTATAGTATAGGGAGAGTGCAGCTAAGGAGACCTCGAGCTATTTTCTAGTCCTTGTTCTCTGAAAACTAGCATATCTCCTTTTCAGCCCAGCACAGCCTCATTTCCTAAACAATAAAATAAGGGTCAGAACTAGATTACTTTCTAAGGTTCTATTCACACCTAACCCCTTCAGGGCTCTCTAGTATGCAACTATCAGAGATTTTTTTAAAGCTGTATTGAAATATATAGCTTCATTTCCCTTGTTATTTTGGCTCTTTTACTTTATTTCATCTTAATAAGATATTTTATATAAAACATAGAAAGCACAGGAAATAACAAACATTGATAATTAGCCACAGGCTTATATTAACGTTAAAGAGCAGAGATGAACTCATCAACAAGGCAAAAGATACTTTCTGTACCTTGTTTGCAATAAAGGACAATATTGATAAAAAGAAACTGGGCAATGCAGACTAATTTTTGATCATGTTCATTTTTTAACGTATGCATTGAGCCATAGCTAATACAAAACATTTGAAAAGTCACATATTCAAATATTAACAAAACAAGCTGGCTATGTATAGCTTTTTTGGTTTTTTTTTCCCTCTCATCAAAGTTATACCAGTGTCTATGCCACGATATTAATTTTCATGTTTTCCATGTTCACAGATTGTTTTGATTTCCTTATGAGAATGGAAGCTCATGACAGACAACAAATGTTGTTTTAACTGTTATTTTCTCTATTACTAAGTTATGTTCAATTATAAATTCAAAAGAATTAGAAACAATTTCAGTTAAATATGCTGTACTGTAGATAAATCACATTAGTGGGGAAATGCTTATTTATCCTGCTTGCATCTGTTCACAGAAATTTAAAACTGGGGTACAGTGAAATTGAAAAACAGTAACAAAGGGAATAAAAGGGAACAAATGTGCAGTTGAGAAAGCCCTTTTATATACATTTTCTCATGCTTACACAAGCTTAATAATAATAGTACTTCACTTTTATATGGAAAACTATATTTTCCTAGTCATTCTTCATCTGTTCATCATAGAACTCACAAAGCTGGAATTACATGCCTTGCTTTGCAAATGAGAAACCTAAGTTACCAAGACAATAAAGGATCTGCTCTAGGAAAATAACAAGATTGGTAACTGAACTCTAGTCTTCAGCCTTCAATTCGGGTGATTTTGCCTCTAGACCACAGCTCTTTGCATTCACCACCTCAGCAATTCAGATTATAAAAAACAGAGCTTTTCTAGTCACCAGTAATCAGTCACATTTCTATCTATGAATACTATGCCAGCAGGTGGCAAAGGAAACATTATGCATTATATACTTCATAGGAATAAGAAGGTTGAGGCCTACTTATGTAATCATAGACACAGATTTTGAACTTTAGGTTGTTTATCTAACAATATTTGCATAATTATCTTGAAAGTATAAGATTGCATAACAGATGAAGTAAGCTAGCTCAATATAAATAATATGGCAGCAAATTGGAATGGGGATAGTCTCTGCTTTCCTATTCTTTTATCTTAAATGAAAGAGCTGGAACAGTTCCATTTGTTCTTTCTTTCATTCATGTATTCATTCATATAAAATATATTCAATACATTTATTGTGGTCTGTAAACTGTGGTAGCTACTTTTCTAGCCAACTGGCACAAAATACCAACCTGTAGGGTGAGAAGAGAGCATAATGAAATAAAAGTAAGTTATTTGGTCAGTTTTATTCTGCAGTTCTCCAGGCCCATCAGTTTACCAACAAAAGACATAATTTCATTCTTCTTAATGGCTGAATGCAACTGCCGTGTGTGTGTGTGTGTGTGTGTGTGTGTGTGTGTGTATGTGTGTGTATCACACTTTATATATATCCATTCATCTGTTAACAGACATCTAGGCTGGTTCTGTAACTTTGTTATTATAAATTGTGCTGCTACAAATATTGAAATTCAGATATCACTAGTATGCTTCCAGTTCTTTTGGATAAATGCCAAAGAGTGACAAAACTAGGTCATATGGTGGTTCTATCCATAATCTTATTTTTTTTTTATTTTTTGTAGTTGTTGATGGACAGAATGCCTTTATTTTAATTGTTTATTTATGTTTTTATGTGGTGCTGAGAATCGAACCCAGTGCCTCACACATTCTAGGCAAGCACTCTATCACTGAGCTATAGCCCCAGCTTAATCTTTAAGAGAGTCTCCATATTGAGTTCCATTGTTGATGTAGTAATTTGCAGCCCCACCAACAATGAAGTGTCTGTTTCTCTGCACAATCTCTCCAGTGGTTATTATTGGAGATATTACATCAATATTACATTATTGATGATTGCCATTCTAACAGTTATGAGATGAAATCCCAATGTAGTTTTGATTTGCATTTCCTTGGTTGCCCAGAATGTTGAACATTTGTTTTTCATATATTTGTTGACCATTTGATTTCTTCTTTTGAGAAATGTCTGTTTGGCTCATTTGCACACTTATTGGTTCAGTTTGTTGTTGTTTTCTTTTGATTCGATTTTTGCTGTGAATATTTTTGGTGTTCTTTTTCAGATTATGGATATTGATCTTTTGTCAAAAGAGTAGCTGGCAGGGATTGTCTCCCATTCTTTAGACCCTTTTTACACATGAAATAGGCCAAATTATGCTAAACTTACATGAGACTATATCACAGTGAATCCCATTTTTATGTATAAATACAATGTACCAATTAAAAATAAATAAATAAATGGAAGACTAGTAGAGTGGAAGAACAGGATCAGGGGAACTATAAAGGGAAATAAAAAAATAAAATGAGGGGCTGGGGATGTGGCTCAAGCGGTAGCGCGCCCGTCTGGCATGCGTGTGGCCTGGGTTCGATCCTCAGCACCACATACAAACAAGGATGTTTTTTTGCTGAAAACTAAGAAATAAAATATTAAAATTCTCTCTCTCTCTCTCTCTCTCTCTCTCTCTCTCTCTCTCTCTCTCTCTCCTCACTCTCTCTTTAAAAAAATAAAAAATAAAAAAATAAAATGAGCAATTTATGTTATGTGCATACATGAATATGTCACAATGATTCCCGGTACTTTGTATAATTATAATGCAGCAATTTAAAAAATGAAAAGCAAGTTATTGGTACAAAAATAATCTGCAATTCACCTTTGTGCCCTAAACTGCTTTGTCTCCATAACTATATTCTGTGGGGGACTATAACTGATCTGCTAAAAGACCTTCTTTATCTGCATCTACTTTATCTCCATCATCAGCCACAAAGCAGTATTCACAAGGGGTGTGGAATATCCACTGAAACACAAGAGGGTTGCTTTGTTTCTTCTTTTAATAAGATTTTCACATTAGCCCAACAAAGTTCCATAAGTGGTCACTAGGTGCTTAATTTACATGGTATTCATAGAAGATGCAAAAAAGAAACAGTGAGGCTTAACAAATCTCAACTGTCTTATGCATGAGTTAGAAGCATAAACAAATGAGGACAACCCAAGAGAAGTAAACATTAATGAGTAGCTGATTCTGTCTAAGGGGAAGTGAAAAGTCTGGGAAAGCTACAGGACGAAAAGGATACTTGAACAAACAGGCATTGCCTCTGCAGACAAAGGCAAAGGTGGACATGCTGAGCAAAGTGCAGGGGCAGAAGCATAGAAATAAGGAAGAGTACCTCATGGTGGGAGCCAGGGGAGGCTAACTTAGTGGAGAATGTGTAAAGGGAACATTCCCATGGCCCAGGCTGTGAATATCCATATACAGCAGATAAAATAAATTTGACTTTTATTCTGAAGACAAGAAAGAATCATTTAAATATGTTGACTGATTGAAAATGGGCTATGGGGGAGTGTGAGTCACAGATATCCAAGATTTCTAGCTTAGGCAACTAGGGGTATGAG